AAAAAAAAAAAAAATAGAAAAACTGAGGCAAGAGGACTGCTTGAGCCCAAGAGTTGGAGGTTGCTGTGAGCTATGATGCCACAGCACTCTACCCAGGGCAATAACTTGACACTCTTGGCCTCAAAAAATATATAATAATAAAAAAGAAAGAGAATAAAAAAATAGAGATAATAATCATATATACCTTCTAGGTTAGCAAAAAAGTTAGGAAAATATATTAAATTTAAAGAAAATGAGTATTATGTATGCATACACCAAGCAAAGAGCTTTGCTCATGATGTAGAACTGTGACTAAGTGGCATTGGTCTCCTGGTTTGGCTTTCTGGGGCAGACACACAGAACCTGCTGACTTTCTCACCAGAAAATCAACCTCCCAACCCAGAGGTCTACAGTGGGAACCATACAGTCAGGCTGTGTTTGTAGAAGCTGTCTGCATCTCCCTTACCTTGTGTGGCTACAGGCCCCAAGGAGATCCCTGGAGGCCGCTCTGGCTAAAGAGACCAGACTTGGATCCCTGGGTCAATGCAACAAGACTGTGTTTAATGAACACCTAAGTTGGCCATATAGACCACAGCTATAGGGCATGGGGTGGGTGGGGGGAGGGCTACATCAGTCTGTAGGGGTGAGTGGGGACAACCTTCCCACTTTTTTCCTTCTAGGAGGACAGCAAGGCAGGCGGATGACAGGTCCACTTCACAGTTGGGGAAACTGAGTTCCAGGCAGGCTTATCAGCTTGCTCGGAGCCACAGTGTTCCTGGTTCTTCCTCCTGTTCCACTGTGACTATGACTCCATTCAGTGGTGATGCAAGTAATAGGCAAAGGAGGATGACCCCCGACGGGAAGAAAAACACAAGTGTGGAAATGGGCACAGGGACCCCAAGTGGTGCTGGCTGGAGCCACAGAAGGATGGGGGTAGGACAGGATTCCTGGCACCTGTACCTGTGACCTAGGCCTTCATGGCCCTGGCACAACTGGTTGGGCCCCTGCTTCTCTCTTCCCTCTGTGGTGCCCAGATCCTAGCTGCAGACAGGTCATGAGGTCATGGGCTTCTCCCTGTAGTGCCTGGCACAAGTCCTCCCTGGCACCTCCTGTGCACTATGGCCTGCACAGGGCCCAGGCAGTGTAAGGGCTCAAGCCCCCAGAAGCTGTAAGGAAACAGGTGGCAGAACATTCTGACCTGTGTCAGCCACAGGGCCACGAGAAGGGCAGGGGGAAGATGTGCATCCATGCAGGGTGGCCAGGAAGGTGCTGTGAGCCCTGGGGAGGCCTCAGGGCCTAGTGAAGAAAAGGGGGGTGGTCTGAGACAGCATGCCATGATGAGTGGTGTGAATAGAAGCCTGGGCCTTGGTCACTGAAGTGACAGAGGCTGCAGGGGGATCAGGGAGGCTATAGGGCTAGAAAGGAGGATGGCTGGGAAGCCCTAGTGGCCGGCCCCTCCCTGGACACCTCTCCAGGTGTGAACACGCAGCAAGGCCAGCAAGAGCTTCAGGCTCTGCAGAAACCCAAAGACCCAAGGTCAGCCCCATCCCACTTGCCTTGGCCCTCCCTAGGAGAGGTGGAGCCCCCAGAAGCATCAGATGCAGCCCTGGGGGACCTGAGAGCTCACTGTTGGAGAAGCCAGGGCCAATGGGGCTGGGGGAGCAAGGCCAGAGGCCAGGCAAGAGTGGGGCCAGGGTGAAGGCAAAGAATCCTGCCAAGGAGCAGTCTGGGGCCCAGGACCCTTGCTCAGGAAGGGAGTAATGCTATGCCACACCAGCAGGGGGCCCCACGGCCCCACACTTGGTAACAGGTTCCTTCTTCATTTCCAGTATCCCCAGGTGCTAAGATTCCACAGAGGTGAGACAGCCCCTGCCCGTGAGGACTGCCACTCAGGATACCCCCCTAGGAGAGCCAGAGCACTGCATGGGGGAGGAAGGTCCCTCTGGGCAGGCACTGGGGTGTAAGCACAGCAGCCCCTAGTTCCTACCCTGATGTAAGTGGCCCCTGTGAGCCAGTCTAGTTGTGCCAGGCTCAGCCTGGCTGCCCCCGACCCTGCCCACCATGAGGATCTGTTTACTCTCAGCTCTCTGAGGAAGGATCCAGCATCACCCCATCACCCCACAGCAGAGGTTCAGTCACCATTGATGTAGGCCTGTCACTGAGCATCAGGGTCTTGGAAGCCCCAGGCCTCAATGACAGCAATCAAGAAGTTCTCCGAGCAGAGGGGCTGGTTGTTGAAGGTGTCGCAGTGGCCTGTTCGGCCCCGGTTCAGGTCTCCATCGATGTAAAGTGCCTGGCCACCACCTCCCCCTGTGGGACACTCATGTCAGGGGCTGCCCCTCCACCCAACAGCTGGGCATCTTCCTCCAAGGGTGTCCCATCAGCACTGCTCCAGATTCCCCCACCTAAGAGAGGCCTCTCTAAAACCATAGGATGACCTTTGACACTCCAAAGGGGCCAGGCATCCAAATTGGACCCTACTGCCTAGCCCATTTCTCCTGCCCCTCATGCTTGGTCCACTCCTGACAACCCAGGGTTTCTTCCTCTGTCATCATGGGGGCTCAGGTGAAGCAGCTGCTACCCAGGTCAGAGAGGCTGTGCAGATGGCCTCAGCCACCATCATCCCTATATCCTTCCCCAGGGGAGGCAGGGTCTACCCAAGGCCCAAAGGTGGGGAGAAGCACCCACCAATGATGAGGCAGTCATTGCCCCCTGCCATGAACATAGACTCGGTCTTAGAGGGTAAGTTGAAGTGCCGAGCAGCCAGGAACGGCGAGAGACGGTCAGCAGGGTCTGAAGAGTGGCTGAGTGGCGTGGAGATGTTGGTTTCTGAGGACATGAGGGATGTCGGCTTGGTCAGCTCCGGGTGTCTGATGACCACCCACTCGTAGCGCTGCACCTCAGGCTGCAGCTGGGGTGAAAAGGCAGCATGATGGAATCCCAAGAGCCATGCCCATTTCATCTCTCAACTTTTCATCCAGAGCCCATGGTGGGTGGGACAGGGAGGTGATGCGCCAGGCAGATAAGGCCCCGCTCTCATGGAACACAGGTCTAACAATTAAAAAACAGACCTCACAAGAAGAGTACCCTGCAGGGTCCCTACCATAGTGAAAGTCAGGCAGGGTCCTGAGGTGGGGCAACCAGGGCATTGATCTTGTATACCCCAAGCTCTGCCATGGGGGCTGTGCTCAGCCCTACTCACCCTAAACACAAAGCATTCTCCGGTCCCAAAGAAGCCCAGTTTGCCTCCAAACTTATTTCTCTCACTCCAGTCTGTTGACAGATAGGCTCCACACACCTGGGGAGGAAGGGCCAGGTGAGGCTGTGCCCTGCCAGCGCTCAGGAGCATCCCCTTGCTCAGGCCTGTGCAGGGCTGCCTCAGGTCCCAGCTGGGAGGTGTGCTATGTGGGGTCTCTATCACCACTAGGGGGCAGGTGCAGCAGCATGGAAAAGGCCGAGTTTGGGGTGAGTACACCACCATTCCCTCCTGGGCTTGGGGCTGGCATCAAAAGCAGTGGGTGGTCACCTCCAGGCTATTCTCATTTTCCTCTGTGGCCTCAAGTATGGGCTGCGCCCTGTGTTTTGGCAACACCCTGACTCTGACTTTGCCATCAGCCCAGGGAGACAGGGCCCCCAGAGCTCATGAGAGCCCAGGACCCCAGCTCTGCTGGTCCCTCCTCACCTCCTTCTGTGTGGTCTTGATGAGCAGGAGGGTGGGCTCATGTCCTTCACACTGGAAGTAGAACCTGGGCCAGAGAGTACATATGCCAATGCCATCCTGCACATCCTGCCCACTGCCTCCCACCAGCTTCCACAGACCCTCGATCTTGGCTGTCTGGTGTTAAGACAGGCCTGAAAACTTTCCCTCTCTCTGGGGAGCTGGCAAGGTGGCTGAGGACCTGACCCTCACCCTGGCCTCTTCTCTCCAGGTCCTTCTTGGCTGTCCTGGGCCTGACTGCCCTGGTGTGACTGTGCAGAGCCTCACAGCAGGAGGCCCTGTGGGCACAACCAAACTCAGATGCTTCAGGGAAATGAGAACCAGAGGAACAGGTCTTGCTTTAAGAGGCTCGGTGTGTCCTTGGGAGCCTGGCATGTGGGGAACCAGAGGCACCAAGAGCTTGGGGTGGTGCCAGAGCTTGTGTCCCTGGTTGGGGCCAGGTAGAGAGGCTTCAGTGACACCAAAATGCTTGTGGTGCAGTGGATGGTACTACATGGGAGCTGGGTCAGCACTGTCTGCATCACCTCTGTTGGGTCACCTGGAGCCCAGGCCAGAGCTTCCAACGACACCTGCCACCTGAGACTCAAGGGGAGCCCCACAGAGGGCTGGGCGCACCTGGCAGAGCCTTGCTGGAAGGCAGGGTGCCTGGGATCCCCTGCCAGAATATCATGTAGTAGCCCCCAGTACAGGGCTGCAGGTGAAGCCAGGGCCTACAGCCCAGGTGGTCCTCTCCCACCAGTTCTATGAGTTCCTAAGGTGGGAATTCCGCCTCACGTTCTTTATGATACTATATAGGGCCCTGAGCTGTGTTCCACCTGGCAATGATCTCCAGGTCTGGGTGGCCTGGGAATGACAGAAGCCCCAGAAGAGGGGCCCCTGATTCTTAGGCACCACAGGGAGGCAGGGCCCAGGTTCAAAGGCTATTTCCAGCCACCTTGGGGCAGGACGCCAGGAGGCAGCTCCACAGCTCTCCAGCCCCCAGGGGCATTACCTCGTCAAGCTGTACCCATGCTGCAGCGAGGAGAACAGAAGGAGAGGCTGGCAGAGGGCGAACCGCTCAGGGACCCAGGACCAGATATCTCTCATCTCCTTCACGCTGACGATCTCTGAGCGGAAATTCTCCGGGTGGACGGCCAAATGCACAAACTGCCTGAAGAGAGCAAGGAAGGGTCAATGTCCAAGGTGAACAGGGTCCTGACCACACCACTGTCCAGAGCTGTGCCCCAGAGCCTCAGTTTGGACTAAGCCTGGAGGGAACATGTCACCTCCTTAGTCGGGTTCAGATCCTGGTTCCTATGCTTGACAGGAAGTACGGGTTCCAGGAGCTGATTCCCACCCCACTACAAAGGGAGAAGGCCCAGCCTGGGTTGGGAAAAAGCACCTTTTCTCTAAGAAATGAGGACAGAGAGTGACTACTCTGGCAAGACAAGGCTTCAGGGCCAGCCAAGCACCGGCAGATAGCATGACTGAAGCAGACAGACAGACAGAGAGATGGAGCCTGAATGTCAGCCAGGCTCAGAGGCAGCGCTGCTAAAGCTAAGCCATGAGGGCCAACCATGCCTGGGGAACAATAAGCAGCCGACCAGAGGCAGTGGCAGAGAACAGAAGCCAGGCATGGAGATATACCTACCTTTTAGAAAGTGAAACACTGAAAACAGGAAGAAGTAACGGATACAGAGAAGAAAAATAAAACAGACAAGGAGAGGTTAGTGGTGAATACCAATCCCCAGATGCACCTTCCTTTGGCCCAGGAGAAAGAGAACTCTGTGCCAACAGGCCATGCCATGGCATGGTCACAATGTCAGTGTGAAGCAATCTTGGGACATCATGACCCTTTCCTACCCTGATCCCCAGGGGCTGTGCTAAGGGCAGGCAGGCCACTTCCAACAGCCATGGGATGACTGGCCATGGACCCCAGAGCTGGAGGGCAGAGTAGGGGCTGCTCTAGAATGTCTCCGCCACACCTTTGACCCCACAGGACCAGGAAGGCCCTTCCGGTTTTCCATTGTCTTGCTACTTACTTAGGATGCATGGGTAATGGGTGGCCAGCTACCTTCATACCCAAAGCCCCCACATGCACTCCACCTGAGCTCCCATCCTTGGCAGGCCCCTTGCGGCCTGGACTGCCTACCTCTTCTGCTTGACAGTGATGCCCCTCTGCTTCAGTGCCTTCTCATTGGCCATCTGCAGCAGCTGGATCTCCTTGCGGGAGAAGAGGCGGATGGCAAATGCTTTCTCTAGCAGCTTCTCAGGGGACACGGTCTTGGCAATGTCCTTGACAAAATCACGAATCTCCTGCTTCACATTGTCAGACTCAAGTGGCTGCCCTGCTCTCACCTTGTGGAAGAACTTGAGGATCGCCAAGGCGACACGGTATAATACCTTGTAACCTTCCACTAGGAAGACATCAAAGACTCGGGCAAAGTGGCTGAGGGGCAACTCCCCAAACAGCCAGCGCTGCCAGTCTGCATAGACCTGCAGGACGTCCTCTGACACGGCCACCATCAGCTTGTGGGCTGCCTGGCAGTATTTGTTCACCAGGTCCCCAAATGTCATGCAGGAGGACTCAAAGGCCAGGAAGCTCTGGTCAATCAGCTTCCTGCCAGGGTCATTGCAGGCTAAGATGCGGCAGGCCTTCTCAAAGCACTCAGCTTCGTCGCTGCTATAGTGCAGCAGCAGGGCCACCACAGCTGGCAGGGCAGGACAGAAGGAGACATCAGGGAACTGGTTGGCAATGCACAGGAGTATCTTGCGCACGGCCCCTTCCCCCTGGGCGTTTAGACAGTAGCTGGGCACCTGTGTGTTATCCACGAACTCAGGCAAGGGCAGGCTGCTGGTACTGTGCTTGCCTACAATCTTGCCCACGATGTCATTGTACACACTGGCATCGGGTGTAACTGTGCGGCAGGGGATGTCCTGGATCAGGTGCTGGTACACCTTACCTCGCAGGATGTGACTGTGAGCCCAGTAGCCCTGGCGTGCCAGCTGTTTTAGCTCCTGTAGCTCAGTGCAGTTCAGCTCCTTTGGCCCCAGGTCCTGGATGGCAGCACCCATCTTGTCTCTGTCCACAAAGCAGTTGTACCCCAGGGAGTCCATAGTGCCCGCTGTGCCCAGGATGAGGGCCCTAGGCCACCAGGAGGGAACAAAGAGTGGCTAAATCCTCTAGCCCCCTCTCTGAGGGGTTCCTGCTAAAGTGTTTGCCATCTCACACTCTGTAGGGTTAAAAAAAAATTTTAGTGTGTGTTTTTCAAGGTTCACATTGTGGCCAAGCGTGGTGGCTCACACCTGTAATCCTAGCACTCTGGGAGGCCAAGGTGGGAGGATTGCTTGAAGTTAGGAATTTGAGACCAGCCTAAGCAAGAGTGAGACCCCCATCTCTACTAAAAATAGAAAAATTAGCTGGGTGTTGTGGTGGGTGCCTGTAGTTGCAGCTACTAGGGAGGCTAAGGCAAAAGGATCACTTGAGCCCAGGAGTGTGAGGTTGCTGTGAGCTAGGGTGATGTCAAAGTACTCTAGCCTGAGTGAAACTCTTGTTTCAAAAAAATGAAGGTAATGGCCAGGCGAGGTGGCTCACACCTGTAATAATAGCACTCTGGGAGGCTGAGGTGGGTGGACTGCTTAAGACTCTGGCCCTCTATCCCCCCAATATAAATAATAAAAATAAAAATAGACTGGTCATGGTGGCTCACACCTGTAATCCTAGCACTCTGGGAGTCCAAGGCAGGCAGATCACCTAAGCTCACGAGTTTGAGACCAGCCTGAGCCAGAGTGAGACCCCCCTCTCTAAAAATAGATGGGCATTGTGGTGGGTGCCTATAGTCCCAGCTACTTGGGAGGCTGAGGCAAGAGAATCACTTGAGCCTAAGAGTCTGAGGTTACTGTGAGCTATGATGCCACAGCTCTCTACCAAGAGAGACAAAGGTGAGACTCTGTCTCAAAAAAAAGAAGAAAGAAATAAAAATAAAGGTTTACATTGTAAAGAACATGCTTTTTACTTTAATCTTTCTCTGAGTATTAGAAGGGTACCATTTAAGATAAGTGACCATTCTAAGAAATCATTATGAACCTGGAGTATACCTTCCTTCCACAGAGCTCATGAGGTTACTGGAAAAGGTCATACAGGTTCTAACTAAGGAGAGGCTGGAGACAAAATCCCCAGAAGGCTTCAAGAGGCTGACTCTGCTAAAAACAACTCTTTTAGGGGGGAGGTCACTTTAGACTCCTAACCACCACCCTGAGGCCTAAGGGGCTTCTAAAAAGGAACGGTCAGTTCTCTGAGGCTTCAGGCCTTTAGCCAGCTATGTACTGTAAGGAAAACACAAACACACCGTGCTCTGTCCCACCTGGGCTGGAATTCTGGAGCCACCTCTTAACTTTCTAAAATTACGAGCTGGAAAGCTAAGTTTCAGGCAGGTTACTCCACAGCAGTGTCGCTCTTTGGGAATAGGTGTATGCAAGAGGGAGAGATGAGGAACAAATGGAAGGTGTCACAGCTTTAAAATTAGACACTGCTAGGTCCAAATGAGCCAGAAGTATTGGTGAACTTGTCTCTCCATGATGGGCAAAGTTAAAAGAAATGGATAAGATGTGCTTTTTGAGACTCTCTGCCTTGGGCACAAAAGTACAACCTTTGCCCACACACATCAGATTAACCTTTCTGCCTAGGACGTTACAAGCATCCAGAGATATCACAGAGGTCTACTTTAGTGAGTTCTGGCTTCTCTTGCATCTAGATTGAACATTCATCTAAAAATGGAAAATGTGAATACTACTTTAAAACACTGAATGAAAAGTAAAAAAGTTATACTGTGAAACTTTCACCTGTGAGACAATGTCTTTTTTTTTTTTTTTTTTTTTTTTGAGACAGA